GGGCGGCGGGGACCCCTCCGTGGGGCAGGGACAGCTTTGTGTCTTTTGGTGCGTCCACCACAGCCCGTTTTAGTGCGTTTCGAGGACATACTGCTGATTTAGGAGGTAGCTTTGGCTTTCTGCTCCCCCGCTGAACTGCGGTTCTGAGTTTGTGCATCCTGTTTCCAGGGGAACCGGACTGTCAGTCTTTTGGGATAGCCATACTCAGCTGCTTAAGCCGCTGTAGAAGGGTGGTCTTTTAGTTGAACCTGAGTCCAGTGGCACAACAATGCTTGCTTTTTAATCTTTATTTCCCTTTTTTTTTTTTTTTAATTTTATACAAGGTGATTATCAAGCTTTGGTTTCCAAGTACCTTTAACCGTGCAAACCCAATTAGCTGCTTCACACCTTCACCCCGCCCCCCAGATTGGGATTCTTATTTCAAACCTACACCTGTCTCCACTTTCCTATTGCACAGCCCAGCTACCCACTGGTCTTAACCAAATTTCCCACCTTCTTAACTTGACTCCTATATCCACCCTCAGAATACAAAATGTGCCTACATCAGGCAGGACCAGACTGGGGCAGTCTGATGGGGGTTTAACCGGCCCCTTTCCTGGTGTCTTCTGTGTGCTGTACAGCTGATAAATAAGTACTGTCAGAGATTTGTACTAGAACTTTTCAATTTTATGCAGTGTACTAATCTGGAGTTAATAAAACTGTAACATGTTTTTTTAGTACCTCAGGCTTTGTATGTGTGCACTTGTGTTGAACTTTGCCATCTGAGACTATACACCACTTGTCTGTTTTCTGAGAGCTAAACTATCATACCTAGACTGTGGAAATCCCTGAGTTGATGTAATTTTATATCTCATGTCCATTCAGCTTAATATAGGTGTCTGTTAAACTGCTCTCCGGACAGGACTGTATTGTAGAATCTTGGTTGTGTTATGGTTTTAGATGGAGCACTCAGATGAAGAACCTCCCAAGAAACGGACTTTGAGAACTTGTTTTCGTCCTGCTGTTGTACCTTCGTCAGTCACAACTGATCTGTCACCATTACACAAAAAACTGTTGACTTACCGAAGGAGCCATGAGCAGCAAGAGATGATTGATCAGATACTGTGAGTTTCGTGTAATTCAAGATATTGAAATTCAAATGAGACATTGCACATTTGACACCTGACAAATAATAATGGTGTTTGTTTAATATAATTATAGCGAGATTTAGTGATCAAAGATCATCAAAACCCAGGTTGCATTGATTAAAATATTAGGATTATTTCTAATATGTTATTTGTAGTTTTTCTGCACTTCTGATTCTATGTTTTACTTTAGAATTGATCGAGCTCTTAAAGTCTGTGACAAAACCATGGAAGAAACATCTCACAGAGATCCTGCACCTCCTATTCCAGAACTGCCTTCCACTGTGAGAAAGTATTTCTTTAATATTTTAAGTGTCACCTATTTAGTTCTTTGTTATTGGGGCACTTATTTTACTTCTCAGAATTTATGTAAAGATACTTATCTCAATCCTTAGTAGTTAATAAACATATTTATATACTCAGGTAGTCCCATTGAAATGACACTTACATACCTACAGAATAAAGTCTCTGTTTAGGAATAATATTTGTTATATTTTATATTTCTGATGTTTTTGTTTATATGTTCTGAATACATAACAATTTTCTGTTGCTTTTTATACAGGTGAACAATGAGGAAGACCAACAAAGAGTGAGTTAAATTCTTTTGTCTGCTTTTTTTGGAGTAGGAGAGTGAATGATCTCTGTTCAGAGGAGTTGAGCATGTTATATGGAATCAATGGTGATTAAACAGGAAAAGGTAATCGTGGTGGGGAAAAGAGGAATGGGAGCAAAATAGCAGTCTTATCTTGTGGTCCAGTAGAAGAAAAGTATTTTTCTGTTACAGAAAGCATGTCTATCAGAAATTAATTTAGCCTTAGTTGAAGGACATTACTTAAGAAAAAAATCTAACAGGCTACAGGATTATTCCAGTTGAGGTCATAGATTGTACCTTAGCCTGTACAAAAACTAGTCTTTGACATCATTCCCCTGATTTGAGGAACAGGCACTAATCCTGAAATTTGTGCATAGCTTTTAAAGTAAGACTTAGTCTCTGAGAGCAACTGGAAACCCAAATCAGTATTGAAATATTTATATTAAGTAACTTAAGGTAACACCAGTTTTTCCTGGCTTATGTTAGATAAACTCAATCTGTAGATGTAGAGATTCAGATCCCTTTTTTTTTTTATAACAAAGCTGTCAGTCAAAAGCATAAATACCTTTTTCTTTGGCCAAGATCCACTCCCCTTGGGGGCGATGTTTGTCCACACTTTTTTGCCAGATAAATGTTTGTCCAAAGGACAATAACCTTAATCTTGAACTGCTTTATTGTCAGCCATAAACTTCAGCAGAGAACCAAGGAAAATGCCATACTAACAAGTACAATATTTTGTATTTAAACATTGAGGCAGAGAGACCATTTTACCAGCCACAGAGTAGATTTCAGTGCATTAGTCAGTGAATACTGAAAAGATCAGATTAAGTCACCCGCCCTTATGGATAAAAAGCTGTGAATAAAAAGAGACTTTTGTCAAGCCTAACACAAAAATATTTACATAGCCAATTCTTAGAGCTCTGACAGTATTGTCCTTTCAGGCAGATTACCTCTTCATGAAGCAACGTGTGCAGAGCAATCCCATGGTTCCCATCCAGCAGCAGTGGCTCAGGTCCATGCTCGCCTTGGTGCCGCGGTCGCTTATGGAGGGCAAAGACAGGGAGCTGCTCACTCAAGAGCTTTTAGGGGAGATAGTAAGGGATTATGAAAAGAGCATGAAAAGATGTGTGTGTAAGTACCACAAATTACTCAGTACTTATATTAATGTTAGTATATATAATACAAGCTGTTCCATATTCTCTCACTGAAAATATTTTTTCTAGTTTGTTCTTTCAGCCAGGCATGATCTTTGTAATTAACTACTGATTCATCTTTCTCTACCTCATCAACTGTGTGTTGGCTGTAATGTTTAAGGCAGAACTTGCTTATTTTATTCAGATCAGGAAAAAGTTAACCAGCTGAAGGTACAGTTCAGGCAGTGTAGACTTCATGTCAGAAAGGTTGAGTGTCAATGACATTATTTCATTGAGTCTTTAACCTGTTTAGTTAATTTGCTGCAAGAATGTATCGCTGTTTGCTGCTAAAGAAAGTTGAAACTTTTTATGTACTAGTGATTCTTTCTCCCTCTTAAGGAACAGAAGCTTTTCTTAAGCTGTTCATTCACAAACACATCCCTGAGTTTTCTGATGGTAGTTTTGATGCATGAGGAAGCTTGCAATAAACATCTGCAAAGATAATTACTATTTTCAGATATCACTCATACAACTTACTTCAGTTTTAAAACCTTTTAAAAAGGTTAATGAACTGGAATTTTAAAAGTGTTTTCCCTTGAAATCATGTATTAATTTCTTTTTTTTATTATTTACATTTATAGTATCCAAAGTCTGAAATTCAACCAAATTTTGTCAATATTTTAGTGGATAGTGATATTTTTAAAAATGCAGATTAAAAAAATACATAATTTATCATGGGACTAACTTCTTTGTAATGTCATCAGTTATAGTATATAGCTATAGTATCTCACTGTAATTTTGTTAAAAAAAGTTACCATAAATTCTTGCAGTCATGGAATATCTCAGTTTGGAAGGGGCCCATAAGAACCAGAGTCGAACTCTGTGCTCCTTGCAGGACTACCTCAAACTAAACCATACAACTAAGAGCACTGTTCAGATGCTCCTTGAACATTGTGGTGCCATGACCACTTCCCTGGGGAGCCTGATCCCCTACTGACCATCCCTCAGCAAAGAAATTGCTAAAGAAAGTATTTCATTATTTAAACATGAATCTGTCTGAAAACCATCATGAACAGGAGACAGAGTTGGAGTTATGCCACCTGAGTCTGTACAGATATTTAGCAGAAGGAATGATTTTGAGTTACCTTAGGGAGAATGTTTTTTGAAGACTAGGGTGACACAGTTACCTCTTCATCCTCCTGTGTACTTGGCTCAACCTGGAGAAAGACCAAGGAAGTGCAGTGCCTGTTGAATATGGCATCATTTTCTTCTAAGGTTCATGTATTTATTTTTTTTTCTTAGTGCGAAGAGCTCTTATTAAACCAGATGTAGAAGGACTTGAAAAGGAAGAGGAGGCACCTTTGCCTTTGTTACCTCTGTGAGTGGACTAAGCTAGCAAATAACCTACTGGCAAAACACAGAGTTGCATGAGTGAAATTCTTGTTGAGCTGCATGGACAGAGTTATGGCACAATATTAATTCTAGAGTCCCTTAATGTGGCAGATTTTCTATCTGAAGAGGATCCTGTGTTTCAGCATCTCTTATCTGAATGCTCCACAAAGTTTTAGCACTGGTAGTGTTTTATTACTGTTGTTACAGTTACACAGAGCAGCACTAATGACTGCAAATGAAACTTCTTTTGGCTCTGAGTGCCCAGACGCTAAAGTGAGATTGCAGCTGCCTCTGGAATGGGGGGTGTGTGTACAGGGCAGTTCTGTGGCAGAAGCAGCATTGTACTGTACTCTGACATGCTGAAACTAATGCCAAGGGCTCATGTGACTTTGGTGTTATGAGCTAAAACCTTGAGACCGAAGGCAAACCTATTATGCTCTCCCAAAACAGAAGAGGAATTCAGGTAGACAGAGTATAAATACCTGAATTATTAAGTTTTTCTGGAGCATCAGAATGTGTGCTCTCAAAGTATTGATGATAAAGGCTTCCTGATTGCAGGTGGTGAAGTGAGGAGTTTACAGCTACAGAACTTTTGGAAGAGCAGGTGATGTGAAAATACCATGAGGATAAAACACGTTTGATCAGACAGTATCTTTATAACTTCCACCGTGTCATAGTGAGAATGTGTGTGTGGCATTTAAGTAACTGTTCAAGTTAGGGAATAAGCTTTTTAATACTACTTTTTATATATAAGAATATTTTATTCAAGTATTGCTTGAGCTCTTAATTTTTGTTTGTTCATTTGTTTTGATTGGGTTTTGGTGGTTTTTTTCCAGAGGCCTGGATTTTTCTAGTTCGTGGCATAAGAGCTTTATCAAAGCAAAAAACCAAATCCTTTCCACCTTGCACACTGTCC